CCCCCACCCCTGCCCCAGTTGGTCAATGAAGCGGCTCAGAGTGGTCTTGTCCGGCTCGGTCGGCGCAAATCCACCCATTTCATTGTGTCAGCCGTACCATAAAAGCAGCTTCCTTTGCGCGCCTTGCAAATCCCAGGAACAGGAATATTTTCCTTTGACTTTCCCGTCCCGCACACAGGTCTACGGCTGACTGACAGATGGAGCCGTGGACGGGAACTACCCCTTTCTGTCCTTCCTGCTTCTGCGGTAAACAAAGTTCATCCCTCGAGGAAAATGTCTTGGCAAGCTGACAGGAATATTACAACTTCCAGTGACCCCAGAAAAAAAAAAACCCTCGGATCTTTGCTAAGATGCTTATAAATACCCGCCTCAAATCCATCGTCTTGATTGTTTCAGGTTTCCGGGTTTTGCTTTTTCCATAACATGCAGCCATGGAAACCTACGTTGATTCTCATGCACGCACACACACACACACACACACACACACACACACACACACACACACACACACACACACACACACACACACACACACACACACACACTCACTCACTCACTCACTCACTCACTCACTCCCTGGCTCTTTACGCAACTTTTGTTCTGCACGCTTGAACACCGGGGTCAGCAAGGACCCGCACGATCGCACGACTGTTTTCTACAAAGCGAAACACTGGAAATAAATCCCTCATGTTACTCCAGCAACAAAGGCCGTCGGGCAGACAAATAACCCGCTCATGGTGACCGCAAGTAAATTACGTAAACATTTGCTTCCTTTTACGTTTTTTTGTTTATTTCTGTCATTATGCCTGCTTTGTTTTTAATTCTTCATTGCGTGCGCAATATTTGCGTGGCAATACATTCGCACCGGCGGTGTCCAAACTACGGCCCAGGGGCCTTTTCATCCTTCCGTTTTTATGTATGTGGCCATCAAAAAAAAAAAAAAAGTTTGGACATCGCTGGTTCACGCGAACAGCTGCAGAGCATGAGAATGCAAAAATTTTGAACTCTATCAGCGAGTGGAAGAAAAAAAAAAAAGGATTTTCCTATTGGCTGGGAAGAAAAATGGATTCCCCATCCAGTCCTCCCCTCTTCTCTAAAAATACAAATTGAAGTTGAGCTATGTTAGTCGGGGCACCTCAGGGGATTCGGAACCCTGTGGAAATAAAATAAATGTGGGGCCCGAAGGCTGTCTCAAAACTAACAGTACACTTCCTGTTTTCGTTACAGGTATCATTTGGACATTGCG